CCCCTTTTCTAGATAGGGCGTCAACAACCTTATTCGAGCTCCCTATTTTGTATACAATGTCAAAGTCGTAACCCATGAGCTTGGCTATCCAATTATGCTACTATGAGTCGTGATTCTCTATTCCAACAGGTACTTCAGGCTATGTTGATTTGTATGCACCACAAACCTCCGTCTAAGTAGATATGGCCTCCAATGTTGAATGACCATTACTAAGGCCATGAGCTCTTTTTCATATATAGGTTTACTTAATGATCCCTCTGATAGAGCTTTGCTGAAAAATGAAATGGGTTTCCTATTCTACATTAGCACAACCCCCACACCAACCCTGGATGCGTCACATTCCACGTGAAATTCCTGATTGAAATGAGGGAGAGTCAAGACTGGTGTAGCGGTAATGGTTGTCTTGAGTACTGCCATGGCCGTTCTAGCTGTTTCCAATCACACAAACTTCCCCTTTTTAAGCAATTATGTTAAAGGCTTGACCATCTTCCCGTATCCCTGCACAAACCGCCGATAATACCTTGTTAGGCCCAAAAAACCTCTCAAGGCCTTCAAATTTTTCGGTTCTTCCCACTCCAACAACTCCTTAATTTTATCCTTGTCCATCTCAACACCCCTTTCAAATATCAGGTGGCCTAGATATCCGATCTGCTACTTTCCAAACTCACATTTGCTCTGGTTAGCTACCCATCTCTGCTGCTCCAATAACTGTAACACCATTCCCAGCTGTTCTAAGTGATCCTTCCATGTAGGACTATACACTAGGATGTCATCAAAGAAGACAAGTACACATTTCCTGAGGAAGGGCTGCATCAAGTTATTCATTGTGTTTTGGAAGGTGGCCGACACGTTAGTGAGTCCAAAGGGCATCACCAGAAATTCAAAGTGGCCTTGGTGTGTGCAGAACACCGTCTTGGGGATATCTTCTTCTCCCATCTTTATTGTATGATATCCAGCCTTCAAGTCTATCTTGGAGAAGTATTTGGCGTTGTGTAGTTCATTTAGCAGCTCTTCTATCACGGGAATGGGGTATTTATCTGGGACAGTAGCCTTGTTCAGGGCTCTGTAGACAACACAAAAGCGCCAGTTGTCGTTCTTCATCTTCACCAATATCACCAGACTGGAGTAGGGGCTCTTGCTTCACCTGATGATCCCGACTTTCAACATATCTGCCACTTATTTTTCTATTTCCTCCTTCATAAGATGGGGGTATCTATAGGGCCGAACGTTGACGGGGGCGGGCTTTCTCTCTCCTGAAACACCCCATAGTGCGCCTGCAATACTGTCTTTAATGCAGCTTGTTGTTCCCCTGTCAAATCCCCAGTCCACTCATCGCACCCCTCTTACTCCACTAGGCCCAGATCCCACACTAGTACCCATGACTCAGCATCCACTAATTTCAACAAGGTTTTGGGTTCCACCAGCTGTCTAGAAAGCGCTGGATCACCCTCTACTGTCACCTTCTTACCCTTCAACATATATTCCATGGACATCTCCCCCAGTTGATCATAACCTTTCCAAGTTTCGCTAGCCATGCCACCCCCAAGATTACATCTACTCCCCCCAATTCGAACACGTACAATTCCTCCTCCACGATGGCTTCCCCCAAATTTATTCAAATTTTCTCGCAACGTCCACGAGATATCCTCTTGTGACCATCCCCAAGGCTCACCGTGTATAGGTTTGTGTCAGTTATTGCTAACTTCAATTTCTCCACCACCCTCCGACTAATATAGTTATGGCTGGCCCCACTGTCTATGAGGACCACCACTCTTCTTTCTCTAATTCGCCCTGTTAATTTCATGGTTCTAGGTGGTGTCAACCCCTCTACTGAGAAAGCAGATAGTTCCATGGGCTTCGCATCCTAGTTCACGCCTTCTATCCATTCGTCCTCCTCGTCTTCCGCCAAGAGCAGCACCCGCAAGCTCTTCTTCGAACAACGGTGACCTGGTGCAAAAGGACCCCCGCACCGAAAACATCGACCTTCTTCTTGTCTTTTAATAAATTCTGGATAAGGTAAATTTCTTACCATTCTCCCCCGATTGTCGCCTCCTTCGACGGTTCCACCTCTCACGCTATTCGTCGTCATTGGACCTTTTCTTCGGTTCGACCCACTCGCCTCCATTCCTCCAGAACGGTTTGCTGGCTGTCGCATGACCTCACCTCGAACGATGGTTGTCGAGGCTCGCATACCCACTGGGTTCACCTTTAAGCCGTTCCAACCTCCTCCCCGCGCTTAGGATATTGGGTCTTCCACGTCCCGCGCGATCCTCACTGCAACCTCCAATTCTTGAGGATCTTGGATGCGGACTTGCCCCTTAATTTCTTCCCGTAGCTCAGCCAGGAAAAACCCAGACTCGCACTACCTTCCATGCTTATGTAGGTAAGCTCTACCTTGTCTTCCTCTGCCACTTTCTGTTGATCCAACTGTGTGGTTCTTGCCCTTCAAACCCCGGTAGGTCTACTCTTTTTCTCCAATTCTGTTATATCCCCCGATTATCATGTCTTTCGTGATTATCGTTCACCGAACTATTACCCCCTTCAGAGTTCCCATCATGATTATAAGTTCCCCCACTCATTAGCCTCATCAATTGCTTCATGTTAAGTCGTATCGCAGCGGTCTCCGCCTTGATCCCTTCCACCGTGATCTCAAGATTCTCCAATCGTCCCTCTATCTGGCTCCCCATCACTAACTCACGCACCTCTTTATCCTGTAGGTCGGACCAAATGATAGGTTCCTAATCAGAAACCAATGGAAAACACACTCCACGCACTCAAAATACACCTCTTTGTATTTACAGTCAATCAAGAATACAAGTGCAGAGAGCTTAACCTCCCCCTTCAGGATAAACAAGTTCCTAAAAATTTGTTATTATCCCAAAACCAATCCCCTCTACAATTAAACCCAAACCTATTTATACAAGTCCCTCCCCGCCTTTCCTAACTTCCAAGGCAGTTAGGCTAACTAATGTCTCTTCCTTCTCTCATAAACCAATAACCTCCTATAGTCTTTTTTTATGCAACAAAAGATATAGATGCCTCTGCTTTAACAAGCTAATGATTGAATCCATGACCACAAACCTCACCAGACACACATTTTGCTCTACCAACTAACTTTCTCTTACTCCTAATTTCATCCTCTACTACTCAGCCACCACTCTTCCTGTTCCACTATTCCCTTTAGAATAATAATATTCCCTACCATTTTCTCATCCCCACTTATAATCAAAAGGCTGAATGAGTAGTGAAAGGAATATGGGTGTTGGAAATTATTAGTTCTAGTTGTTGCATTAAGGTTGACCATTATGTGTCCCACTACTGTTACCTCCATTATGATAATAGACAAAGTTGGACAATCTTCCTCTCTGGGATCCTATATTGCTATACAACCCTAACATCTTTAAATGCCAATGCCAATAGGAAGAAGAATTAGCATGTCAATAATTTGGTATATATTTCATTAATATTGTAAATTGATGGATTTACAGGATTGACAACACAAAAAGGAGTAAGACCTTAACCAAACTAGATGAACCTGTTCACGCACAAGGTAGAGAAGACCCTAACCAAAACACCGGCATTTCCATCATAAACTGCAAGGTTGCAGCAGCTGCTGATTTGATCCCTGTGAAATCTGAGTTCAGGAATTACCTGGGTCGTCCCTGGAAGATGTATTCGAGGACTGTTTTTCTGAATTCATTGATGGAGGATCTGATAGACCCTGTAGGGTGTTCGCAATTGGATGACACGTTTGCATTGAAAACTTTGTATTATGGAGAGTACAACAACACAGGTCCAGGTGTTAATACAAGTCGTAAAGTTACGTGGTCTAGTTATAGGTTTATCACCAACTCCACTACGCAACCTACTTCGTCGTTGCAAATTTCATTTAAGGCAAACAATGGTTGAACTCTTATGGCATTCCATTCTTTTCTGCCTTTACTACGTCCATGCTCTTAGGCATGGTCTTATGCGATAAGGTATATCACTCATAATTCATGATCAACCTATAATATAGACAACCCTAACTACCAAATATATAACGTTGTTAACTCCACATCCCATTTGTAAACATGATTCATGAAGAATGAAAGTACACAAAAACATATACTACTTCATAAACACCAATCAAAAATAGAATACCTCACTTAATTAGGGCTCGACAACTGAAAAATGGCCGCACCTACTAATCAGTGAGGTCTCGCCTGCCTAGAGCTTCAAGGCATCTCACCAGTGACGAGAGAGAGCAAATGTGCCAATTCAAAAACTGATAGACATGCAATGGCGGTGAACGATGACAACATGGATGGAGAATGACGATGAGATACATTGAAAAGGGTTGCTTCGTACAGTGAGGGAAGGAGACATGAACGACGACAAGAACGTCGAGAAAAGGGGGAACTGACATGGACGACGATGACACAAACGAAGATGATGGCGACCACTTAGACAGGGTTGCTTCGCACAATGCACTAACATGAGACTCATGGGAGGAACTTTCGCTCCAGGGTTGTTTTCTTTAGGGTTCTTTCGCTTAGAAGAAGGAAAACTAACCTCCAAATTTTTTTATCGAATTTACCCAGGCACTTACAAACGACTTTTATCCATTGGTAATGATGCATATAGTTTACCTACAAATATTTTACACATATACTTTATCAATGCAAATACCGATAGATATTTTTGTCGGTAATTTACATAGCTTAATCCATTGATAAATCTATCGGTAATAGAATACTACCCACATTAAAGAATATGTCAATAAATTCATTATTTCTTGTAGTGATCTCATCCTTCACCTAATACTCATAAGTATCAATTATGAGTCGAGAATCTGTTAGGAAAATCACCTTGGTTGCTCCCATTTCTCTTGCTAATGAGACTGGTTATCAAGGCTTCATACTAAGCCTATTTATTGAAATTTTTATAACTAAAATGCATGGGCTTCATACTATTCCAGGACCAATGCCCTTAGGGTTGGATTAGTCGTCCCCATATAAGGTCCACCATGCTTCTTTTAACAAGCTGTTTGTTTGAAGCTCACTAGTGAAATTTTTCAAGCATTGTACTTTTATTTATCCTCTTTGCTCATACGGGATATGGAAATCTGATAACTCAATGGCCCAAGATGATATTCGACCTGCTATGTTTGGTTTTTGCAAAATTTTTTGGATGAGGTAATCGGTCTTAATTACCCTCATGGCTTTGGAAATAAGGTCTTAGCCTTCTCATTGCCCTTAACAAGATAAAGGCACTTTCTATACCAAGGTGTCAAAGAAACCTATGGGATAACAGGTAGGCAGATAAACCATTCCAGGGTGATCCCTTTCAGGGTGGTTGGGAAGGCCTTGCACATAGCGACATCATCGATAGTGTACAGACTAACGTGAGTGAAAATACGTGACGTGCTCGTCTGAATCGATGTTGCCATCATATCGATCTAGTGTAATAGCCTTCCACTACTTAAGGAGTGGAGTATCCATGATAACATCCACAAAGGGGTGTTGACGACTTCCTTTTTGGTTTCATTGTCAGTGCAAACACAATATACAGTTTTGTGCACTGAATTATTGTTATCAAGGATTTCCTTCTCCTTTGATTTGTCGATTACTCCCTCAACCTCTATCTTCCTCTCTAGCTTGCCATTCTTTTGCTTCAGGGCATCTATCTTTTCAACACTTCTCTTCTTAAATTCCATCAAATCTTGTTCCATTTTCATTTGGGAGTCTAGATTTGCGACTATGTCAGCCAAGGAAGGTTCGGGTCCTACTTCCTTTGATCTAATCATTTTGCTCCTAGTAGACACCACATAACACTCATCTTCATAAAATATTCATTGGCCCCACAGTGGATGCTACAATGTTCCTGTTTGTAAGACCAACTACACTGTGCAATGATCTTCACCATTCATTATCCCTCAATCCTCTAATCTTGAATCTTTCACAAGTAGATAACCACTTAGATATAGTCCTCTCACTAATACAAAAACACCATATAACGTCACACGTTCAACGTCCAATCATAGAACAACCAATGTTAAAAATGACCGGTGACATTGTTGTAAATAAATTCAATAGTTAGACGTCATTTACAGGTTTCGTTCGATGTCTAGAACAAAATAACGTCTAACCATAAACATGTTCGACGTATAAACCAATTTAAATACATACTAAACGATCATTTGCTTCCCAACAATTTCACTTTAAATAGAGAGTTTCAGATCCTTTGAATACCCTACACCACCATTCACTAAACTTTTGCTTCCCTACACAAAGCTTTCTTAATCAAATTCATTTTAATAACTTGTTGTCTTTGTGTTTCTATTAACTCCTTCAATTTCAAAAAAGCCAGACATTTATTTGTATTTGTTTCAACGTCATTATGAAATATTTTTTTGAAGCTTGAAGGTATGATAGAAACCTAGAGCAAAAAGTTAATAGATATGGATTTCAAAATCTTTCTCCATTTTACATAACATGTGGTTCTTTTGCTAGTTTGTTTTCATGTTTTGAATATGTTTTGCTATAATGTATTTCTTTTGGTTTTGTTTTCATTTTTGTGTCTGTGTTTTGTAAAATTGGATTTCTTTTGAAATCCTCTAAGGAATTTCACGACGGGTTAAGTGATACTCTGACGTCATATTGCATATGAAACAATTCTTTGGTAACCATAGCAATATTAAGGCTTCCAACTCCCCTCACCTAAGACTAGTTTGACGTCGAATCCCCATGAAATTCGACATCAAACCCTTCATTGGTGACAATTACCCCTTCTTCTGATCATATTTGATGTCGAAGCCTCTTAATATTCAACATTATATTGTATCTCGAAGCCTATTAAAATTTCATCACATTTCTGTCTCCCAAAAAACATTTAGCTGACTTGAATTTCAAAATGCACCTACATATAGATGAGTAGATGAATGTGCACTTTGCAATTCAAGTTAAAAAATTGAAATTTAAAGAACTGGAATCTAAGGAAAGAAAAATTACAAGAAAACTTAAAAATGGATCATAATATGTTCAATAAGGAAACTGTTCTAAAGGAAAGTAACTTATATCTGTGCTATTTTTAAACGAGTCAGAGACGTCAAACTCCTGTCCAACTCAACGTCAACCCAATAGTTAAATAATTCATGGTAACCATAGTAATTATTGCTCCTAATTGTCCATAGCCACTGAACATAATTGACGTCGAAGTCCTGTCGAATTCGACGTACAAACATTCGTGGGTAACTGCACAATTATTATGGCTTTGAATGATTTACCTAACCATTTGGACATCGAATCCCCATGGAATTCGACATCAAACTCGTCGTTACAAATTCGGAGGCTTCCAACTGCATTATTACTTGACTAGTTTGACGTTGAAGCCCCTTGAAATTCGATGTTAATAAATTCATTGGTAGCAACACTGTAAGTAATGCTTTTGATTTCCTATTTTTAGGTAGAATTTCACAATTAAGTTCTTTCATTTGAAGATACCAAGCATAGATGTAGACTTCATCAAAAGATGAGGTACTTGTTGACCTTATGGTATCGTTTAGTCAAGTAAACACTTCTTTAACTTTTGTCTCTTTTTAGACCGATGACGTTTAGCTTGTGTAGGCTTCTTTATATTTTTATGTCTTTTAATGTATTTTGTCAGATAGATTATCTTGACCTATTTTGTTTTTTTGAGAAGCCAAATATCTGTTCTACGTATTGTAAGCATTAAGCTTTTATCTCAATCTCTCTTGGACGCTTTAGGCAAAACATCGTTTAGCCATGCGTTTGGGTGTTTTAGGCTAGATTTTTTTTTTATTTCCTA